AGCAAACTGCTACTCTGGGGCTGGATTCAAAGAGGTGAATCTGAACCAGTGGAACTGATACCAGTCAAGTTTTACCTCTGATTCTTCAAGGGGTAATTTTCCACTGGATGAAATTATCCGTTTTGGAGTCTCCTATTCAACTTTGAGTAGCCAGTTGAATAGCTTGTTCCTGCCACACTGTGGGTGTATCTACATGTGCATTAATTCGCCTTTTCTAATGCACATTAACTTTAGTACCTCCAATGTAAGGTACTAAATGAATGCACATTAGGCTGCGCTAATTCATGGTAGTGCATTTGCACACTTTTTTAGTGATGCTTAATGCACAGTAGACTATTGTACTGCCCATTAGCATCATGTCAGTTTGTATATGACATTGTAATGTGCAGCAAAATAGTCTACTGCACATTAAAATGCGCATACAGGTGCACCCGGCATGCTTAGAACCACTTACCTACAGAACTTGGAGATAAAGGGTGACAAGAATTGATTTGAAAGGGTGCATGATTGATTTGTATTGTCCACATCAAGAAACCAAAAGCTATTTGCAAAGTTGAGGTCTTTCCTTATATTCCTGCTCCTGAGGTCAGCTGATCCTGGCCATCTAAGTGAATTAATTTTTCTTTCTAATCTATCTTTCTTCACTGGATTTAAGTTTCATAACACTATATGGTGGAGGCAGTTCAAAAAGGAGGGGGGAAAGAAACCAACTGAGTCTCAGTTACCTCATTTAACTAGACTTATTAAATAGCTAAACTCTCTTCTAACAGCTTTGGTTTTATAGGTATTGTATAAGGCTGACTGTTAAATTCAATCTGTTAACCTGGCTTCTTTTATATGCAATGTTTTATTCAGTACCTTATTTTGCACTCCCACAATTTTCAGGAGTTTTGGCATTGTACAGTTGGTCAAATTGCATGAGAATAACGTATGGTTTGATGCTCACTGACATAATCATACAGTATCACAGTGACCTCATCCTATAGCAGAAGACACTGAGACCAGTCTGAGAACTGTGTCACATATACAAGGTACTAATGATGCAGTATCATAATAATTTTAGCAGATTAATGCAAATAAATTACATAAATGTGTTCCTACCATAATTAGAACTGACCCAACTACAAGCTCCATGACAGACCCAGTTTCGAACCTGATCCAAGTTGGCTTGTAGATCAATGGGTAAAAAAATAGCTTCCTACTTCTTGCACTCCCCTCAGGTTTTATGCTAACCATAGCAGATACAAAAAAAAAAAAAAGATGGCAAACACATACAGATGAAAAGGAATAAGGTCTAAAAACATTAGAAGCAGGAACTAACCTTAAGGGGGAAAAATGAGGAACACATTGGGGAGAGAATTAAGGAAGAGGAAACGAGACAGATAAAATCCTATATCACAGACATGCAATTTTTATAGTTTGATTTTTTCTTCATGCAGATGATAAACGTGTTTTAATATTTCCTGGTGTTTCTTTTGTGCCTCCCAATTCTTGCTGAATTTTCTTCTTCTTTCCATTCCTGTTTCTCCCTATTTCTTTGAAGATGAATGGTAAGTGACACCTTAGAATTTGCTACTCAATCTTTTTGGCCCTTAGGTCCAAAGGATTGCCCATCTCTTCATAAACCAACATACCCTATGTACAAACAAGTCATGAGTTAATAATAGACAGCGCCAGCTTTCTCGTAGAAGAACAACCTTTGCAAATACTGTTTACTTGTCTGAATACAAGATGTCCTCTTACTAAGTGACTGATTGATAGGTAGGCAAACGCATTCGCTTTGACAGAATCATGCTGACATCTACTTTTATGTTCTTAGCTGTCTGAACAAAGCCATACTGATCAGATTTGTAATTCTTTGAAAGCCTGTCAAAGTAAGCAGAAACAACTGTAGTCATTTCTTATACTGAATGGATTTGTTGATTTGGACAAATTTAAGTATAGTGAGTAACCAATTAAACGTATGATGGAAGGCCCTTGAATAAAATGCATTTTATGACTCCTGAAACTGACAGATAATCAAGCTTCTTGAAACATTTAATCAACCATTTTTGGCAAAAGGATAAAGCGGGTACCAGAAAGGAATTCCAACTTGCCTGTGTTCCATTTGTCTTAAGCTGCTTTTTTTACTGGCTTCATTACTGAAGTGTTCTTTCTGTCTTTCTATGTACAAATAATTATATTTAAAGGTAAAGTGTCAGTAAATGGTAAATACAAGCAGACTATACATCAGAGTTCCTGGTTTTTGGAGAAATAATACAACTTGTCATCAATGGCACTGCAAATGGCTTTCTTTATGCAGCTATTTACATTAACTCTCAACAGTAAGACAATCAGACACTGGGAAATCTGTACACAGCCTTGCAAGAATGATTGCCGTATCCTGCGTACTAAGGAACTTCAGCTACTTTTCTGATCCCATGCAAATTTATGGTAGTTCACTGCTAGTCAAAGGAGCTGATTGAATTCCCAGAAAGAATATTGCATTGATTTTAATAGGAATTAGCTCTTGCTCTGATCTAATCTTACTATTTTGTTCCAAATTGTGTGTGAGATAATATTGGAAGCATCTGATTATTCACTTTGTTGTACCATGTTTTCAGACCAGCCTATGGAGCTAAGATTTTTGTAAAGTGCATTTTACAGCATATGGATTTGCAGACAGGTAACTGTTATTGCTAATGCTTCTCACTGTATTGAAGACAATTAAATGGCTAACACTTAACTTTTCTCACATTGTATAGACAGTAACTTTTAATGGACATGGACAGAACACCAGCATACAAAAGCTCACTTAAACTTTCTCATTATCATATCATGCCAGGTCTTCTACCAATTTATTATTTACATAACACATGCTTTTAAACTGGGACCAGCTTCTGTATGCTGAAAACTGTAGTGTAAAATATACCAAAATTTTAATACTTTTGGCGATTTGTGTTTTATTGTACCATTCCATATCACACAGGTAACAATTCAGAAACATACTGTATGCCTACACTAACCACACTATAAAGTTGAGTTTCTTTTCTGTTAGGAAATAATTTCCAAAAAAAAGGAAAAACTATTTGAAAAACATGTTTAAGCCAGACTTTGTTGTAAATAAAATATTGGCAGTGTTACATACAGAGAGGCTTATTAAAAGGAGTGTCAACTATGGCCTCGTTACATAAGCCGGTATGGATTAGAACAACATCTACCATTTGCTACAACACGGACCATGTGATGAAAATCAAACTCATTAAAGCTTGAGGAAATCCAAATCAGTCTAGCCACATCCCGTTATTAATCTGATATAAAAATATATGAAAGTTAAGAAACTGTTCTTGTGTTGGAATATTTCTAAACAGAGAGGTGTGATCTAACACTGAGCATGGAACTGGGAATCTGGATATTTTGTGTCCACTCTAATAATGATTATTTCTAGGGCTTTGGAAATTCACTTTAAACCTCACTTTCCCCACCAACCTACAGAACAGAGATAATAAGAATTTAAGATGGTTCGACAGAATCTGTAAATCGAGCAAGAGAAATCTTAGCAGCTGATGAGGAAGCTTTATAGAATGTTTGTTTAAATGCGTGTCAGACTTAAAACACAACAAAATCCCATTATTCTGCACTGGATAGATCCGGGCCTTCCAAAACTATACTGCTGAATAATTCTATCTATCTACATTAGAGCTAAAATAGAGAATGATGGTAAAGCACACTGAAAATGAGAACTAAGCATCAGTATTACAAAGCAATTTGAAATTACACGTGAGTTTGTAAATGTCATTGTTAAGAATCGATCAGAATTAAGTAAAACATAGGCTTGTGAAAAAAAATATTTATTATGCTGGCCCAAGCCATTAAATGCGGTGAAAAAAAATGCTGAAGTTAGGGAAACTGGAAAAGGGAATTACCATCCAGTGATGATCTAAAAGGATAAAGGACTTGATTCTTATTTACACTGAGGTCCCTTCATGTTACTTTGGCAATATAAAAGGGACTTCATATTGCCCATGTTGTAGAGAGGCCTCATTCTAAATAAGAATCAGGACCAGAATGTTTCCTGTTTAACAGTATGTTTACAGAAAAAGCAGTTCAGCTCTTGTCTAATTTAGAAAGTAAACCTGAATTTCTAGACTAACTTATAAGACAAAAGTGGTTAAAATTCTGGCTCATTAATTGCTGAGAAGTCATGCTACTTAAGTAAATTCTTCTGACTTCCACTTCCCCCTTCCACCATAACAATAAAAACTAGCACATGTAACAAAAGAACATAGCCCAACATTCAGTCGGTTCCATCAAAATCAGTATTTGCTATCCAAGGAATAAATAATTATTTTGTTTTGATCTCTACATTAATTACCTCTTTAGTTCCAAATTCAGACTTGAACTTTTGAAAGTTATAGCTATCATTAAAAGATGTCCAAATAGTTATAAAGTTTGAAAAGACATGAAATAACGCATGCTGATTTCTTGTTGCAGTGACTATCCAGAGTCATATCTCCAAATATTTCAGCTAAGTCAGGATTCATCTTCTGCTAACAAATAAGCATGTATGAACCCTTATGTCCACATAAACTTCAGGGGCTGCGCCAGCACTTACCTTTTCAGGATCAGACCCTACCTACACATAAGTTTAAACAGATTAGCAACCTAATGGAACCTAAACTTCAAATCTTATAAAGCTACACAACTATTTGAAAACAGAATTTTACAAAAAGTTTAATGATTTCTAGGCTCATTGCCAGCAGAGGTCACCTGCCTGACATTGAGCTCCTATAATTGCCAGAATAGAGCATAACAGCAAGAAGTTACAAACCAGCTTCCACCCAATTTTTTCCATCCTGGTATTTTTATAAATGGAACCTTCAAGTTTGCTATTTAAATAATTTATAAAATGTTTAATGGAGAAACACAAAAGGAAGAGAGGTGTAGAAATGATCTGAGGGCCAACAGGTAGGCAGTATTTGGAACAGTTAAAAACAAACACATTTCTAACTTATGTTTATAGACCATATTTATTGATTTATTATACATGTATAACTCATGTTCTTTTTTTTAAATCCATTTAAAAGTAAACTAATGGATTTTGTTTTACCTGTCCAAGTTGAAAAAACAACCTCATGAGGATCAAATCAAAAGCAGAAGAAAGCAAGCAGATATTATTAAAACAGAGTTTAACTGATGATAGAATAGGTCTGAGTCCCAGAAAAGAAGAATGTTGATTTTCCCCATCATCCTTTGTGTTGACATATAAGTACTGATGTTTAAGCTCAACATTTCCTGGCAAAATCTGTCAGTGCATAAAGTCAAAAACTCTTTTCCATAACATGTGAATTGCCTTTTGTTTCTTTCAAGATGTTTTTTTCTGACAGGTTTGCAGAGCAGCTTTAGAGTTGTTCACCAACAGAAACTTCATTTTATCTTCTCCCAACATCCACTTGTTATACTCAACTACTGTTTTAGTCAAAGGTTAAAGTGTTTTCTTTCACACTTATTTTAACAGACCAGTCACAAACTCAGAGAAAAGCTCCTTGAGTCCTGCAGCTTCAAATTCTTTTTGCAGTTCATCCAACGTTGAATATTCTTTGACTTCAAATGCCTGATACCTACATTGTACAAGAAAAACTCATGAATGTGCCTACATTTGTCAGAATATAATTATCGATTCAGTTGCTTTTCTATCCATAACAGTACTAAATTATACCTTTTGTGCTGTGTCAGTACTTTTGTTTCACAGAGTACACTAATCATTTTCTCTTTGCATTTCTTTCCGCTTGAATCCACATCTACCTTAGAGGTTTTCTGAAGAATCAAGTATTCCTAAATAACAAAAATAGAACAGAATATTAAATGTTACCTAATGTCTTTGAGGTTTATTTAAGGATCTATAATAAATCTAAAACGATCCACAGAATCTATTTCAGAACATAGCAAACAACTTAAAAAGTGTTGATCCAAAATATTTAGTGTCTGATCAAAATCAATGGTACTATTTACTAGGCTTAAAGTAGAGCATATTCTTAAGTGCCCTGCTGGAAAGCTACTTTAAAAAGGCCCAAACATGCCACTGCAAGCAATAAACCCTGGGAGTTTTGTACATGTAGAGAAGAGAAGATCAAACTCCAAGAGCATTCAGGGTGAGCTCATGGTGGTCTAAGTGGCAAGCAAGGACTCAATCACAAACAGGAAAGAACACTCAAAGGTGTAGCTGGACACTTAGGGTGTTTTTACACGTGCTCCAGAGGTGGGAGGGGTAGGGGTGCTTTAATTAGAGCAGCTTGGAGAGTGAAACACAATGAAGAAGCATGAGCTAAATTTCTTTGAAAGAAAACTGAAGCTTACTAACATAGGGAGATTGCAGGTCATACAGATATCCCTGATGACCAATCTGCTTCCAAAACTGTTAATGTTAGAAAAACACACGCACAAGGTATTCAGACCCACAGTATTCAACAATAAATCAAAAGGACTAGGGAGCATTTCTGCACCTTAATGCTGTTTCTGTCTCCTTGCAGAAGAATCAGTATCACTCTGCCCATAAACATCAGTCTTCCAGTCAGTCTTAGATCTGAAGTCCATTTTTCCACGGTTTTGACATATTTTGCCTTAGCTCTCATGTGGTCTAAATGCAAAAGAACAGTCCAAATACCATCCTCTGTACTTGTACCTGTTGACAAAATACTTTTTTCATTGCAAACTGAAGTTTCCGATTGCCCTATGACATGATTAAAATTCTGTTGTATCCAGAGAACCAGCTCATGTACCATGGGTTCCGAAAGATGCCTCTTTGCTTGTTCAAGCAATTTTTCTTTCACATCCATACATTGGGCCCTGGTAAGCTGTTCCGAGTCAACGGAGATATTTGGTGGAGTTGATGGGTAACTAACTGGTAAATGAAACAACAGCTTTAACAGTATGTCTGTATCCGGAAGTCTTTTCACCCTGGTTTGAATTCTAAATGTGATTCCATGTGTCTCTGGAAGGAATCAAAAAATAATAATGAGTTGCATTCCAGACTTAAATACTACATTAGTAAGGTCTTTCATAAAAGCATCAATTGCAAGAACAGAGTAATTCTGAATTCTCTTGCAAATGATAACTTCTATCAACCCTTATCTACCAGAGATCCTAAAACACAACACTTACATTACATCCCAGAAGGAAATAAATAATGTTTTAAAAATGTTATTCACACCTAGGCAAGTCGGTAACAAAGGATGCTCTTTCTTCCTCCCCCTGAGTAAAAAAAACTGTACCTGAGTAGCAACAGTGAGGACAATGGAAATAAAGATTTTTCAAAAGCACTCAGCACTAAGAGTACTAACTCTGCTCTTCCTGAAATCTATGGCAGTTTTATCATCAACCTCATGCCAAGGTAGGCAGCTGAGAGTATTTCTGAAGATTAACCCTTAAAGTGGACTTTTACACTGAAAGGCGATTCTCAAATATCATTGTGGGGTTTCAGGCTTCTAGAAATTTCCAAAATTAATTTACTTAATTTACATATGGTGTGTTTTCAAACTTTTCTTGAATTAATGTGTACAGATAGATTAGCCATGTTATTCTGAAGTTCAGCAGATGGCAGGTCAGGGTGGCACCTTAAAGACTAACTTGTTCAGAAAGAGATAAGCTTCCACAGGCTACAGCCTACTTCAGATAGGTCTGAGGAATACTATGATAGCACCTGACCAGGTAGGCTGTGGCCTACAAAAGTTTATCCCTTTCTGAATGAGTTAGTCTTCAAGGTGACTCCCTGACCTGCCTTCTGCTTGAATTCACAAATCTATATTGGCTTGTGGATGATTAGAAGTAATAAATGTTCTGCAGCCCAAATTCAAATGGTTAAACTTATGCAAAACCACAGCCTTCAGTAGAAATAGACAGACACTAGGATAACCCTATTTCTGTCCTTTAGTGACACCCCAGGAAATGCATTTTTCAAATGAGCTTAATATGATCTGTGATCACAGACACTAAAATACATTCCGTGTATTCATAATAGTGGGTGTTGGTAGAGGCGAGTTAAAATTGTTTGGCTATCTTAAATCTGTATGTCATATCTTAATGTGTTAAATAAAGTTTAATCAAATTCAACCTTTAGTTGATGTTTCTATGAATACAACACAATATTCTGAAACAATTGCATGCCTCTTCTGAGTGTTACATATCATTAATATGCAGTATATTCTTAAGTTCAATTCTAAATTTTTAAATTCAAACTGAACTTTTTATCTAGGAATACAGTTACTTTCCATAACAGAATTATACTCAATGATCTAGAAAGGAACACCTCCTAATAAGAAACATAGGCTAAAAGCCACCTTGCTCTGGGAGAGCTGGAACAAGGTCCTATAATTGGTCTAGATAGTTCATGTAAGAATAACACTGACTGTTTCATGTGATAAATCATGATCAAAAGCAGTGAATTTGGAAACTGCACATGGAATAGTTTCTCTTGTAAAATCCTTTTTCTGATTAAGATGTGATACAAAGAAAAACAACACAAAAAATCATTAAGTGAAGATGGGCCAAAGACTTCACCAACTTTTGCTACACTGCAATAAGAGGAAAAAGTGTTAGATTAAAGGAGCTCTTCTTCAGATCTACTCTGACTAACTTCTTTGATATGTTCCAAACATTTCACCTCATTTCTTTAAAAAAAGTTGCTAAAATGTCAGACTGGTTCATTCAATAGGAGCAGAAGACAAATTTGAAAGGCAGAGCAACAATTCTTGTGAAGTGATTTGTCACCTTCTTCCCCATCCCTGTTTTACTTTCCTTTTACATGACAGATAGTTGAATTATGCCTTATTTTTATTGCTGAAAGTGATAACCAACCCAGTGCCCTCTATAATACTTGACCCGTGCTTCGTAAGTGAAAGAACCTGAGAGTTCTTTTAAGAACTCAGCAAGAGGTTTGTTGCAAAACTTCCCTCCTGGTTTGGACAAAGAACCCTCTGGAACACAGTAATCATGAAATAAAATAAACCCTTCAGATTGTATGATTGAACACTAAGATTAAAATCAGAAAAGTCTCCATGTACAGTCACTGGCACCCTGAAATGCACACCAGCGCTTGCAAATACAACTTTATTGAATTAAATGGAGTTGCATCTGCTGATGCCCAGAGTTAATTTGACTCTTCTGTGCTTGGACCAAGATATTCAAAGTGCCATTCACTTTCAACAGGACCTGGCCTCTTGCTTCCTTTGACTCCTCTGAATACACCAAGATTTTTGTAAAATCAAGGTTTGTGTTCACATAAATTGGCACCTCTCATGAGTTTAAGCCTCTGAAGTATCCATTCCTAGCATAGACAATACCCAGGTTCATCTACAGCTAGGAGCTATTCCGTTGTTGCCTCACAAAACTGGCAAGGAGTCTCAAGTCTGAACCAGGGAGCTCACTTAGCAGAATAAGACAGAAATTCAGTTTTCATTCCCATACATCTTTGGTTTATTTGCTGAAACTGCTTCTTATTATTATTATATTGTGTGTTTTGCAGAAGCACCTAGAAACTCCAGCCCCACTCTCCTAAACTCTGTTCATGTATGCATCCATTGATGAAACAGGCCCTGCCTGAACAGATTACAATCCAAGTATCACATGCAACTTCCATCTAAGCAATTAGGAAGTTTATTTTCTATCACAGGAACACCTGATTGCTAGAAACTGAAGCAAAGCCTTTGTGGGGGTCTCTCACACACTATAAGACAGCAGTCAAACCATCATCCCATTGCTCATCACCATCATTTGCCAGATTCAAACTAGTAAAGAAGGACCCTACACCTCATTTCCAATCCTTTGAGCCACACAAGTCATTCCCACACTGCCTTCCAAATAAAATATTCCAAATATCAGAGTGGCAATAAAGATTTGGTCTTCATCATTAACTAAGTAGGCAGACATGGAAGTGGGCAGAAGCAAGAGGAAGGTAAAATCCTTAGCCAAGGCCACAAATCTGCTATCAAGCCCCTCTATGATCTCCACTTTGGAAAGGCAACAGAAGGATCCACCAAGCAGTAAATCTTCCAACCTCACTGCCAGCTCCCTTGTGCCCCTCCTTTCTGCATGCTGCAACACGCTGCATATACCTTCAGCTTTGTTTGCACAACTTCCTCCTTTTAACTTCTACTTCCACAAACACAACCACAGCAGGTAGACTCACAGGAGAAGTGATCGCCTATTTGCCCTAACAGTACTAAGTATTTTATATTCTTCCCATGCACCACTTTACTTTAAACAAAGTTGTAAGTGCATTTTAAAATTCATAGACTAAAATGTCAATTGAAGAATAATTTATTACCAGCTTAATTACAGCAATAGAAAAAAATATCACCTTTCTGGTAATCCTACTAGTGTGCTGTCACTAATTTGTCATCACAGATGCCACTGACTCAGAAGTAACTGATGGATAAACAGACAAGCCAACCATATCCCTCTGGCAAGAATGTCATGCTGCAGTGATCATACGTATAAGCCTGCAACAAGCTCACACCTTTCACTGAGCGAAGCACATTGCTATGATGGTGAACTAATCTGAAAGAAGCAGTGCAGTAGCAAATCTCAAGGTGCATCATCCTGAGATGTCATGAAAAAGGGCATTCAAAACTAGCCATGCTCACTTATATCAGAGAACTGATACAAAACTCTTTATGCATAGAAAATTTAAAATATATAATCCAAAATATATTTACAGTTTGTCAAAATACAATGATGGCCGTTTTACAGGTAGGGGCTGCATACTACAGAAAAAAGATAATGAATAACCTTGACTTCTCAGCTGGACGCTACAGAAACAGCTCCCATATGCTCACATACTACAGATCCTGGGTTGATTTCACAGAAAAGATAGTATCTGAAATCATACTTCAGATTTTTCCTTTGTCTTTCCATGTCAAATAGACAAGTCCTTTCAACTCACATCCAAAGGAATTCTATGCCATACATACAGTCACTTTTCAAATACTGAAAGAGGTACCTACAAAAATATAAGCTTTGAATATATAAGTATATTGTTATTAGAAGATTTCTGAGCAAACTGGAAAGGAGTGAGTGAGTAACAAATAAATTATGGAATTCAATCTATAACACTAATCTTTCCAAATAGGCATGCAAAGTAAGATATACATACTGTAATTAGCTTATTTAAATTCATCGACACATCATTTTCAATTTAAAAAACCCCATCATTTGCATCTTAAGTGTTGTATTGTTAAACCTTGGGACACTAAAGCTTATAGTATACTAAGACCTGTGCAAAAGCTTTCCTCTTTCCTGATCCTGTGGCTCTACACAAAAATCACCCTAAAGTTTTCAGGGATCTTTTCATTTAACAGAACAGCCTTAATGGAAAGTCTTTCTGTGCGGTGTTTATAACGACAAGTTACACTGTTTAAGGAAGTTAAAAGCACAAGCAAATAGATACCAAAATACTTCAGTTTATGCAAACTCAGGGATTTTACACTTCTTTGAAATGCAGAGGAAATTCCCACACAAAATAAATCAACAACCAGTGTTCTCACCCAGAAGGTTTTCTGGATTCCAGCAAAGACAGAAGTCAACAACAGAAATAAAAGACTAACAAATCCTAAAAGTTGCTTTGCCCTAAAAGACACAGAATATCAAGGTAATTTAGATACCATATTTTTTTGCATATAATCTGCACCCTACCCCCCAATCCAGCTGGTTAAAATTGGTGGCACATAATATGCAAGAAAAACAAATCCCCACAGATCTAGAAATTTGGTGACTGAAGAGCCATAGCAATGAACAATGCCACCAGCCCCCCACTGCCAAAGTTCCCAACCCATGGGGAGCCCCCTGGCCAGATGACATAGCCCCACATGCCAGATTGGGTTGGCATGTGAGGTTGGTCCACAGCTGGACCCAGCACATGAAGGCAGTCCCAGCTGCTACAGAAGAATTGGTGTAAGGACCCTATAAATACCCTAGTCCTAGCCTCCAGTGTTCAGG